GTGTCCCCTGTGCGCTTGTCACCAGCTGCTCCTCCACCTTCACTGGAGACCGGCTGGTCCAACGTGAGTAGCGAGGCTCCTGGGCCGACCTCGAAGCTCTCCAGGTCCCGGCGGGCAGCCAGCTCGCGGCCTCCCTTCGGCCTTTGCCCCGCCGCGGTCTGGGGCTCCTCCACTCTGCGCCGGCCCGAGGCCCCCTAGACTCTGTCCGTGTGCCCAGTCCCCCCGGGTGTCTCTGCCCCCTCGCTCGTCACTCTTAGGCCTGCCCGGCCCGCTATCGCGTGTCTTCCAGCTTCTCCGGCCAAGTGGGACAATCCCTGCCCAGCCCACGGGGTGTGGGGACCCTTTAGAATCTAAAGTTTCGATGAACCCACAGGCACTTTGGAAATTGTGCCGAGTTACGCGAGTGGAAGGGCAGGAATGGTGATTTTTGTTGCTATCCCTGCTCCTACGGTAGAGGTGGTTTCCCCTTGGCTACCCCTTAACCCCCCTCCAACCCTTATTCTGTAGCCACTCACTGCCTTGCTTTCCTCCTGAGGCGCAGGCGGTTCGCCGACCTTAGTTTTGGGGCATTGCTGGGCCTTATACCTTTCCTCTGGACCTTCACAGTGGCTGGCAAGCTAGGTAACTCTGAAAAGGGACCGTAGAGGAGACCAGTGTGGTACAGAGGGCATAGTTCGGGGGCATAGGCCCAACGCTTCCACTAAGGACTCTGGGAAGTTGATTGTAACTCAAGACTCCTGTTTTCAATGAGTGTCAGAGCAGTGTTCTCAGCTGTAAGATAGTGAGCACAGTTAACCTCTGCCCTTCAGTTTCCCATCTGTAACATGGTGATAATTTTCGCCAGATTGTTGTGCTTAACCCAACATAGTAAGCATTGATAAATGGCAGATGTTCTCTCTCCAACCCTCAGTTTCCTGATCTTTAAACCAGGCACATGAACCTATCTCACAGGATTGAGGGACAGGTGATGTGATATGTTGAGCACTTTGTAAACTGTAAAGCATCATACAACTACAGTTGGTTTTTTTTTTCCTGAACCTGTCACATGACAGAATTAGACAGCATGTCCCTCTAGCACAAATATTCTATAACATCATTTATGACCACTTAAGAGTTCCTTGAGAAGGTAAAGTTTAAGTATAGCATTTACTAAATGATAACTAACTGCTCTAATTATTCCATTTTCTTACCTCTAAGCAGTTCTCCTTCCTATTTATTTCCTTTCTTTTTAAAAAATAGTTTTATAGAAGTAGTGCATACTCCTTAAGTAAGATTTAGCATATGGAGAAAAATATCACCCATGGTCTCATCACCTAAACACAAATACTGTTCTGTGCATTTCCTTCTAGACTTTTCCTCATTGCATAGATTTTTTAAAAAATTGTAATTACATTTCACTTATAATTTTTAACCTGTTATTTTCGATATAATTTTAAAATATATTTTTATATTTTATATATAAAAATTTAAAATAGTTTATATATGTTTAAATATATAAAATAACATTTATATAAATATATAAAGTTATGGATTTATAATATATACTTGATACATATGATGTATATAATAAATAAGTATACTTACATAAAATACATTTTGTATATTTTATAACATTTTATGTATAATTTTTATTCAGATATTTTACATTTAACATTACGTCATAAATTAGTTTTCATTATATATTACATCTAGTGAATATATCAAAATTTGCTTAAGATTCTTGGTGTATTAAACATTCCAAAAGAATTACAGTTGACCCTTGAGCAACATGGGTTTGAACTGTGTGGATCTACTTATATGCAGATTTTTTTCAATAAATACATAAATTCATTTTCTTTCTTAAGAATTTCTTAATAACTATTTTCTTTATTGTAAGAATACAATATATAATACATGTAACATGCAAACTATATGTTAATTGACTATTAGTTATTGGTCAACAATAAGCTTTTAGTAGTTAAGTTTTGGGGGAGTCAAAAGTTATATGTGTGTTTTTGTCGATGTGATGGGTGGGGATCAGTGCTTTTTTTGTTGTTCAAGGTTCAACTATAAGCATTTGAGTTTCCATTTCTGATATCTAAAATTCCTTTAAAACCAACCTCAGAAATATTTGTTAAGTATTCTGATGACTACAGTATTCCCTTCATGTGCTTTAAGGATCAGAATTGGGAGATGTGTTCACTTCCTTGAAAGAGCTGATACCTATAGTTGGTGAATAGTATCATGTACCTTAAAGTATAATGGCATCATTGGGGGAAATTATATAAAATAATGCCTCTTTGATAACTCAAAAGCCAACTTTTGTGTTGGTTAAAATTAGATGACGTTTCCTTTGTGATTCTATTAATGTTATGCAGTGAAAAATAAGAGCAGTTAGTGAAGTGATTACTTGAGTAAGGGAAAGTGAACTCTGAAAGGGGGCTTTGTCATTTCTTCCCAGGTTCATGAGTAGGCTAAGAGTGGACAGCATTAGAATGCAGTATTTGCTGAGCACTTATTCTGTTTTGCTGAAATTAAAGATTGAATCAGATTAGTCACAAGTTGAGTCTAATTTTGGCATAAGAGATGGAGACTACCATAATGAATGACTTTTGTCAAGTATCCAGTGACATTGTTATAGTATGATTTTGGGTTGAATCTGATCTACCTTTTGGGGAAGATTTGGTTTTATTCCATGCATCAGGAAGAGGAACCTTTAGAGTTTCTCTTTCCTTTGACAGCTGATCTATTTTACTGCTGTTAACCAACAGTGGGAAATAGTGCATAACCAAATAAGCAAGATTGGTATAAATATTACATGAAATAAAAATCCATAGCCCTCTACTATGGATAAAGTGCATATGTGGTGAAAGTGCATTTGTGAGAATTTTTTTTTTTTCATTTTGTCACTCAAAGGCCTGTTTTACAGTATTCCGGGTGGATGTCTGACATCAGATACAAGGTGGCATTACAGACTTACAATGTAGACTTTTCAAGGGAAATGAAGGCCTAGGATGCTTGAGGGACTTGTGCAAGCTATATGAGGTGTGAGAGCAGGTGTCTGTATTCCAAGGCCACACATCTTTCCATCTCACACATGAACATTTACTTGTATCCTAGAAAATTGTATTCTAACATTAATCACAGAGCTAGTCTCTGTGCCAGTTACTTAGCTAAAATGACGACTAAGGTACTACTCCTGTCCTCAAGAGGGATGTAGTGAAAGTGTGTGCTCCACCTGTGAAAATATTAAAATATATACCTAAGTTTTAACATCTTACTCTACTTTCCTAGAAGGAACTATAGATAGAAAAGTCCCTGGAGACTTGTTTGGTTTAAAGTATGTAATGCCAATTCAACAACCATAAGCCTCAGATTCTACATTTGAACATTTGGAGCAAAATTATTTTTTCAGTGAAGTGTGGGAATTTTGAGATCGTATAAACATACCAAGCATTTATATGTATGTCAGTGCTCTTTCCAAACACATTTTCACATTGTTTAATTTGTCTCTAGTATCCCTGTGAAGTCATGCAGTCAGGCTCTCTCCATTTTATAAATGAAGAAACCAAGGTTTGGAAATACTAGGTGACTTGCCAAAAGTGCTCAAGTAGCCAGTGCTGGAGCATAAGTTCACATTCATGGTTTGTGTGCATGGAATGTGTGAATGAAATGAGTTGGAATTTCTTAGCAATCAGCACTATTTAAATTTACGGTGGTGGCATTGGTGTAAGAAATGACAGAGAAGATTAACCCTAAAAGAAGGTATTAAAATAATTACATAGGCAAAGCCAGCCATCATTTATTACATTGCTTCTTTGGGAAACCTTTCTTCTGCAAGACTGGGAGTTTGTTTCAAGGTCTATCAGACTCCTATCTTACAAAAGGATCTTAAAGTAATTTAGTAAGGAGGACATTCTGATTTCAAAGATAAGGGGCTATTGTGTAGCTTAGCCAGCATTTTCTAGCAAGAGAATAGGAATAAGAGTTTGGGTCTTCTAATTTGTATTTTTCTGTAGCTGCTTAAGGTATTCTGATTGGAACCTTTTGGTTTATTCTGGGAATAACTAATTTCTGCTTAGGCAAAGTTGCTTACTTTGTTGTAGGGAGGACACTGCTTTTGATTGTATTGTATTTCCAACTCTTTATTTTCTTCAAAGGAAGAAAGATTGGGCCAGCAAGATCTACCACAAGGACCTAGAGTTGTCATCACAGTGATTATGTAGGTGATCAGATTAAAGCAGTGATTTCAGCTGGTAATGGGGGTGGGTGAACTTTGATTTGTTTTTAACCATGACATATTTTAAATTTTTCAATTAACATTAAAAGAAGGCTTAAGATTTTTATCTTTATTAAAGGAAGAATGTTAGGTCACCCACCTAAGGAAGAGGGAAAGATGAAGTACAAGTTCCTTATCTCCACCCAACAGGACTTAGAAAACACATTTGTATTATCCTCCAGTGTGTGTGTGTGCAAGCACGTGTTTGTGTGTGTATGAAATTAAAGCTCCAAGAAGTTGTGATTTTCTAAGGTTTTCAGTTCATAAAAGTTGGGAAGCCAAGATTCAATTCCAATTATTTTATATATGCAAAATATGATGACCTTCTTGCCAACCAGAACTTCATATATTCAAGGTGGAGATAGGGATAGGAGAAATTACTGTAGAAAATTTTACTACTAGAATGAGAATTTTTATTGCTCATAATAAGTTTTTACTTTTTCTTTTATGGTAGTTGGAACCTTAGTAGATGAACTATGATAAATTTAATAATTAATGAAAATGCCTCTATTAGTACCCAATTTGTTTTCCTTACTTGTGGAGCAGGGAATTTGACTTTTGTTTGAAGTTTTAGACTAATACTTTAGATTGTTGATGAATGAAATGATTCTAAGGTGTTTATCTTCCTCTTTCCAGTAAATGGGGATGGAGAGTAGGAGGAGAAACACTAGTGGAAAAGTATTACGCCTCAGCCCATGTTGTACCAAAACCATTTATGGGTGTATCTAGACTCAGACCTTTATTTCAGGGCCATCTAGCTGTTTGCTTTTACATAGAAAAAGGTAAAAACATCTATAAAGTATGTAGTGGTCATTTGGTTTAAACAACTTCCTGCCTTTTGACTTGTATAATTCCTCAATAAATAATGACACTCAATAAATAATGAAATCTCATATAAAAACAATTTTTAAAAGGTTAAAGTATGAAAATTGTCTTAAATATGCCTGTCAAGAATAATAATCTGGACATGATATTATATTCATGTTGGAGCCAGTACACACAGATACCACAAGCACATCTCCAATAATTACTTATCCAGGAAGCAAGATTGACGTAGGTGAAGACAGAGAGGATAGTTGTGAAACTCTTAAAGAACCTTTATGATGTTTTAGGTTCAGTAACAAATAACCTATTTAGAGTTTAATTTTCCAGACAGACATGAAGGCTGGTTCTACTCAGAGGTGGGGAAAAGTAATATCGTGCTTGGATCAAAATCAGTATGCTTAGAGCAGGAAAATGTGTGATCATTTGGTAATAAACAGTACTGTTGTGCTGACATAAAAGAATTGCCATTCTGTTTGAATTCTGCTGGGATTGTTCAGGATTTTTTGTTGGGGGAAAAGTGTGTGAATTGAGCACTGAGTACTACCGTCTTCCTAGCTATCCAACTTTAAGTTAACTTTTCATTCCACAAATATTTACATGTCTTTACCTGTGCCATCTTTGTTCGAAATATCTCAAACATGTGCCTCAGTCACCTACTTCCTCAGCTAAATGAGAGGATTATCTTCCAGCTTCCATGATTTTGTTTAGCAGCTTTATTGAGATGTAATTTCAATACCATAAAATCCAACCATTTTAAGTGTAGAACATTTCTATCATCCTAGAAGGAAATCTTGTGCCCATTTGTAGTCATTTCCCATTCCTACCCCAGTAACCACTAATGTGTTTTCCCTCTTTACAGATTTGCCTTTTCTGAATATTTTATAGAAAAGAAATCTGTCTATATAAAAGGCTAATATGCTAAGTGTCCTTCCCACCTTCCGACTGGTTGCTATGACATGCATTGACCACTGGGGGGGCAGACGCTCAATGCAAGAGCTGCTGTGATGCGCACAGAAAAATGGCACCGCGGACCTGGCACCCACAAAGCAACACTTGGCTTTCCCCAAGTGGGAAACAGGCCCCACCACCACCCTGGAGCGACAGCCCACCAAATTGCAGCAGATGCTGCCAAGACACCATGGTGCAAAATGTGGCCCACAGCCCCGCCCAACCCGGAAATGGTCGCTGTGGGGGCTGGGTAATGACGTCACGTAGCAACGCCCAGCTTCCTCTCCCTAGCGATGACTAGCCCCCTGCAGTTTCTTCAGCCCTTCAGAAACACAGGTAGAAACATTTTACATTTTAACCAAATGTCTGTGAAGCGTTTTCCCATGCCTCATCTCATTTGATCCTCACAGAAGTCCTGGAGTAGGTAGATAGGAGATTCAGTGGAATCCTATTTTCTTTTCATTAGCCAGAAAAAGGAGATTTAGAAAGCTTAGAAAATTGACCTGACTGAAAAGAAGTAAGAAATGGTGGACCTTGAAAATGACTTCAGGCTTTCTCACTGTGCAGAATATAGTCAAACACTTCTGCAGTTAAATATTTTACCCTTTGTTCTCCCTGCGTGATCTACAATAGTAATCTGCTCTGTGTTGATATTTACTGCTGTGTTGCTGACAATTACCTGAAAGAGAAGTTAGGGTGCTTCACTGGGCTGGAAAAAGTCTAGCTAAATCAGAAAGCAGGTCTAATCAAGCAAGGTTACTATATACTAGTACAGTGGTCGGCAAACTCATTAGTCAACAGAGCCAAATATCAACAGTACAATGATTGAAATTTCTTTTGAGAGCCAAATTTTTTAAACTTAAACGATGTAGGTAGGTACATTGTTATTAACTTAATTAGGGTACTCCTAAGGCTTAGGAAGAGCCACACTCAAGGGGCCAAAGAGCCCCATGTGGCTCGCAAGCCGCAGTTTGCTGACCACTGTATTAGTATATACAAGGCTAAGTTGACTCGCGCATGTGCGATACATATGAAGCTCTCGCTGGTGCCAGTCACACATGTGTGTTTCGATCTGTCATTGTCAATCGTGAATTTGGTTGACACTTCTATTATAGAGAAAGGGTGAATAGTGATATTAAAATATTTCTTCTAATTTCCGTTCAGTGTGCACGAATTTGTGCACTGAGCCACTAGTTCTATAATATGTGGCCTCTTATGTCTGGCTTCTTAATGTTTTGGAGATTTATCCATGCTGTAGCACGTGCTCTATATTCCAGTGTATGGATATACCACATTTTATTTATCAGTTCATCAGTTGATAGACATTTGGGTCATTTTCACTTCTTGGCTATTATGAATAATGTTATGGGCATTCTAAGAACCTATTGTACTATTTTAAGAAACTGCTGCCCAGCCAGTGTTGCTCACTGGTTGAGTGTTGACCTATAAACCAGGAGGTCACGGTTTGATTCCCGATCAGAGCACATGCTCAGATTGCGGGCTCTATCCCCAGTTTGGGCGTGTAGGAGGCAGCCGATCAATGATTCTCTCTCATCATTGATATTTCTATCTCTCTCTCTTCCTCTCCCTTCCTCTCTGAAATCAATAAAAAATGTATTAAAACAAATAAAATGAACTTTGCATTCTAGAACTTTTATTTTGTTTCATGAGTATAGCTAAGTTAGTTCCTTTGTTTTAGATCAGGGTTTCTCATTCTTAGCTCTGTTGACATTTTGGACTGGGTAATTCACCCTGTGCATTGTAGGATGTTCTTGGCCTCTGCCCACTAGATACCAGTAGCATCTCTCCATTTGTGATAACCCAAAATGTCTCCACATGTTGAAATATGTACACTGGGGAGCAAAATTACCTCCCCATAATGGACCACTGCTTTAGATGTATATCTACAGCTAGATCTTGAATGAATAAATTAATAAATAATAGTAATAGAATTCAAAGAAGCCTCTCCCCTTCAAATACACATAGGAATTGTCCATCACTAATGCCACTGGGGTCTTTGCATGCAGCCCACGAAACTTTGAGGCTGGTGGTTCCTCCTTAACCCTCATAAAACTCTCCTCTACATTCTCTCCTTCTTGCCAGCTTGATGCTTTTGTGTGCGTTTGTCTCTGACTGTGTTGTGAGGTCTTCTAAGGGCAAGCAGAGACCATGTATCTTCTCCCCCTCTGCTTGGAAGTTGTGGTGTCCAATTCCAGATGGCTTTTGGGAGAAAGTAAACTTGAGCAAAAGTAGGAGGACTAAGTTGGATTTCCTCCGCTTCAACTTTTAAAATGTTTCCACTATGATATAACAAGCCCCAGAGCGTGCGGATATGAGAATTTTGGTGAGACCAGAGAGAAGGAGTGTGTGAGGGAAAGGTAATGAAGTGTTGTAAGCAAACCAGAATTGCTGTACTCTTGTAAAGCAGTGGTACGGTGCTTTAACTCAATCCAGTTTTTCTTCCCTCAGCAACTTAATACTGCTCCAGTGATTGGTCTGTCATATGGACTGAAACAAATATTGCAGATACAGTTGACTCTTGAACAATGTGGGGTTAGGGGTACTGACCCCCTCCCACACCAACAGTTGAAAATCCACATGTAACTTTTGACTCCCCCAAAACTTACCTACTGTATTTGCACCAGGAGGCTGCAATTTTTATTATTCAGATATGAATTTCCCAACATTTGTGTAAAGTCCCAACATTAAGGTTGCACTTTTAACCTTTAAATGCCACACAGGCTCCATTATAGCAGTATCATCTACTCCTAGTACTTGGGGAATAATCTTTTAGCTAATAACTGCTTCTAAGTATTTGCCCAAGCAGCACCCAGCTTGTATGACATCCTCATGAAATTGTGACTATGGAATTACAGTAATTGTAAGTGATTACAACTTATGAAACCATTCTGATTTTTATTTATATTTTAATCCTCATCTGAGGAAGATTTTAGAGAGAGAGGAAGGGGGAGAGAGGAAGAGAGAGACAGAGACATCGATGTGAGAAACACCAATTGGTTGCCTCCCATTAGCTCCCTGACTGGGGATCGAACCCTCAACCTAGGTATGTACCCTGACTGGGAATCGAACCTGCAACCCTTTTGGCGTATGGGGCAAAGCTCCAACCAACTGAGCCATCCGGCCAGGGCTGGAACCATTATGATTTTGAAAAGTCTCTTTGTCCATCCTTGCCAGTTAATGAAAACTCTGGCTTCTTTGCTGCTGCACCCACCTTCCCCCC